TAATATCCCAGAAGAAAATAAGCAGTAAACACTTCCCAGACAAAACCTCTATCTTCAATGCTGAAACCTGTACCGTAGATCTGGTGCTCAGCATTATTTCAACAAATAAAATTTATAATCTTTTCTGATTCACTATCAACACTAAAAAACAAAAAAACTTGACAACCCATTAATAGCCAAGTTGCTAAATAAACTCCATTTAATATCCATGTCAATACATGTTGTGATGTGTTGTATCCCAAGTCATGTTGGAATAATTGGAAATGACAAAGCTGATCCAGCTGCTAACCATGTTGAAAATATAGAAATTGACCCAAACTTTAAGATACCTTACACAGACCTGAAGAGCCAAATAAACAAGTTTATTAAACAAAAATGGCAACAACATTGGAGTAGCTGTGCATCAAATAAATTGCTGCAAATCAAGCACCAGTGCTTGGGGAATAGAAGCCAGAATACAGAAAATCCCAAAAAGAAGAGATAGTATTGGCCCACTTAGACATTGCCATACAAGAATTACATATTTGTACTTACTGAAAAGGGAAGAACAACCAATATGCCCAACATACTAAACTGCAGACACTATGAAACATGTTTTGACTGAGTGTACAGCTCTTGATCCCTCTAGGAAAATATACTGTAATATAAACAACATAAAGGAGCTCTTTGAAAGAGCAAGGATGGACAATATAATATCATTTTTTGAAACAGTGGGTTTATACCAATAAATATAAACCTAACAGTTAAAAAAAATTAAAAACCTGATGTCTAAACCAACCAAAGTAGTTGATACCATATGACTGTGAATAAAAATAGCTGAAACCATAAGATTGCTATAGCGAAGAAAATGGCGACTTACTTTGTCAAACCAAGCTACAGCACGTTGCGTGTATCTTACGACAGAAAATGTGGTGAAAAATGAAAATTACTTACCAATAAAAAGGACACATATTCCACATGACATGCTGAAGACGAAATATTTAAATTAAAGAACAAGTCCATCGCAGGAGTCGCTATACAAGTATTTTGATATGCAAAAATTGGGTGTCCTCTCCCAGCTGTACGAGAATCAGTTAAGTCTGAAAGCATATTTTTAGTAGTAGTAGTGGAAGTGGCCTCCTCGGCAGAATCAGTAACCACATTTTTAGTCCTAGTGGTAGTAGCAGCAGTTGATCCAATCTGAGAAGTGTATAAGTTCAGTAAATTGTCTGGAACCTTTTCGTATATAGATGATATAACTGTTTGTGGTAAAACCCAGGAGGAGCACGATGTCAATTTGGAATGTTTCTTAAAGGCTGCCTCGACATACAACCTCGAAATAAACCGGGAAAAATCAGAGTTTTCACTTCGTTCTATTAACGTGTTTTGGATATCAAATTTGTAACGGAACTATCCAACCCGATCCTGAGCGTTTGAAGCCACTTTTACAAATGCCTCCTCCTCCCGACTCAAATTCGTTAAAAGGTGTCTTGGTATGTTTGCTTACTATGCGAAATGGATACCTAAATATTCACACAAAAATTCGTCCACTGGTCGAAAATAAACAATTCCCTATACCTCCTATAGTTATAAATTCTTTGAAAAACTTAAGAAAGACATTGCCGAGTCATCTGTAAAAGTTACTGATGATGAATTGCCATTTACTATTGAAACCGATGCCTCAGAAAAGGCTATTGGAGGCACTCTTTTACAAGCTGAGCGACCTGTAGCATTCTTTTTCTCGGTCGCTAAATCCCTCTGAAATCGATTTCACATAGTCGAAAAAGAAGCATATGCTATAGTCGAATGCGTTCGTAAATGGAGAGACCTCCTTGCCGGTAAACATTTTACTATTATTACTGATCAACAAGCCGTATCTTTTATGTTTAAACCTGCTAATCATGGAAAAATTAAAAACGATAAAATTATAAGGTGGAAAATGGAACTTCTTCCCTTTTCATACGACATAAAACACCGTCCTGGAAATGAAAACACAGTTGCGGATACCTTATCCAGAGTATGTGGTGCTGCTGCTTCTTCCTTGAAGGAACTTAAATCGATACACGATTCTTAATACATCCTGGGGTACAGCACTTTTGGCATTTTGTAAGGTCTCAGAATATGCTGTATTAATTGATGAAGTCCACGTGTGACTTCTGAATGTACGACCTGTGCCAAAATAAAACCCCAATTCTTCGATTCTACTGGTAATGTTCTGATCCGTTCTATCGCGCCATTTCAGCGTCTCTCCATAGACTATAAAGGGCCTGTCCCGTATCCCCGACAGGTTACCGATATATACTTACTGTCATCGACGAATATAGTCGATTTCCTTTTTGCCTTTCCTTGCCGCGATTGCTCTTCGTGAAACTGCTATTCAGTGCCTGACAAGTATTTTCTCCATTTTCGGGCTTCCCTCGTTCATTCACTCCGATCGAGGAACTTCGTTTATGTCAGGAGAATTTAAACAATTTCTAACACGACTTGGAATTGGATTCAGTAATACTACTGCTTATAACCCTAGAGGCAATAGCCAATGCTGAACGTTACAACAGCATAATTTGGAATACCATATTATTGGCCCTTGAATCAAAAACAGTTACCAATTAGTGCTTGCAGGATGTTCTACATGATGTGTTAAATGCTATCCGCTCTCTACTATGTACCACTACGAATGCAACCCCCCACGAACGAATGTTCAATTTTGAAAGGCGGTCCTCCACGGGTACTGCGTTGCCTGTTTGGCTCTGTGAGCCTGGGGAGGTATTATTAAAACGATTCGATGGCAGAAGTAAATATGACCCTATCGTTGAGGTGGTGGAACTCCTTGAGGCCAATCCTACGCATGCCAAAATACGTCACAATGATGGCCGAGAAGATTCGGTGGTGCTGAGACGGTTGGCACGTTTTCCACGCCCGGATGGACCTCAAAATGGACCTGAAAATACTCAACCCGACGTGGACCACGCAGATTCAACCCTTTTGCCTGATGCAGGTCCCGTTAATATTTCTTCACCTTCATCATCAGTAACTTTTACAGATGACTCGGCAATGTCTTTCTTAAGTTTTTCGAAAGAATTTATAACTATAGGAGGCATAGGGAATTGTTTATTTTCGACCAGTGGACGAATTTTGTGTGAATATTTAGGTATCCATTTTGCATAGTAAGCAAACATACCAAGACACCTTTTTTTAATGAATTTGAGTCGGGAGGAGGAGGCATTTGTAAAAGTGGCTTCAAACGCTCAGGATCGGGTTGGATAGTTCCGTTACAAATTTGATATCCAAGCACGTTAATAGAACGAAGTGAAAACTCTGATTTTTCCCGGTTTATTTCGAGGTTGTATGTCGAGGCAGCCTTTAAGAAACATTCCAAATTGACATCGTGCTCCTCCTGGGTTTTACCACAAACAGTTATATCATCTATATATGAAAAGGTTCCAGATAATTTGTTATCAGAAATGAAAGAATTCATAAATCGCTGAAAGGCAGAAACCCCGTTAGTAACACCCATGAGTATTCGTTTAAATTGGTACAGACGGTTTCCAACTTGAAAAGCCGTATAGGGACGATCTTCAGGGCAAATTTCAATCTGATAGTACGCTTTGGACAAGTCAATTATACTATAGATACGATACTGGGCTATTTGGTTTACGAGATCTTCAATTCGAGGCAAGGGGTAGGCATCAAGTAAGGTGAACCGATTAATAGTCTGGGAGAAATCGACTACCAATCGTTTCTTTTTATTAGGTGACGAAGTTACAACAATTTGAGCACGCCACGGAGAGTAACTTGTTTCAATTATATCATCCTTAAGCAGTTGTAGAATTTCTTTTTCAATGAACCGACCATCCTCTGCACGGTAATTTCGGGATTTAGTAGCAATAGGTTTGCAATCAGGGGTCAAGTTTGGAACAACTTAACAGGAGCACAACTGATCTTGGTTAGAGCGCAGATTTTAGAATATCCTGAGATCCACCAAAAGAAATAGTGATACTCTGGTGTAGTTTTAAGAAGGGCACTCCGAGTATAATATCCACACAGGAATCTGGAAGTACTGTAAAGTCAATTTGTTTATATTCGTAACCATTGAAGATAATGTCCTCAGTACAATATTCAGATAGTTTGAGGGAAATGGCAGATGATGCCATGGAAATTACGGAATTCCGTTTAGAAGTAGACAGTTTCATTGTTTTAACAATACGGGCACTGATAAAGTTATCAGAACTACCGGTGTCTATGAGGGCAGTTAATCTCTTTCCTTTTTAATTCTAAAGTTTTAGTAACTGGAGGAGACCTATCATCGTCTTTAGCACGGGCTACTATAATAGCTGAAGTAGAACATGAAGGTGCGGCATGGTAGAACGGCAAACTTTAGAAAAAATGACCAAGTTTGCCACAGTTTCGACATATCTTATCACGGGCAGGACAATAGCGATGATTATCCTTAAAGTGACGTTTTCCTCCACAGTTGTAGCACTTGCCACGAGCAAAGGCAGCAGACAATTGTACAGAGTCACACTCCGTACGAGAATCAGTTAAGTCTGAAAGCATATTTTTAGTAGTAGTAGTGGAAGTGGCCTCCTCGGCAGAATCAGTAATCACATTTTTAGTCCTAGTGGTAGTAGCAGCAGTTGATCAAATCTGAGAAGTGTATAAGTTCAGTAAATTGTTACGTTGCTCAGAGAAGAAAGCTAGTAACCTTTCACTAAGGCTTTACTGAACTTAATTCACAGCAGCAATCAACAAAGGAAGAAGAACGCAGCTTTTAAAGAGGAATGGGACGTGTGAAAAAGTCACGTGGACAGTAAAGATAGTTTCCTATTTGACGTGAACAGTAAAGATAGTTTCCTATTTTCTTTACGAAAATATAACATTTGCATAAAAAATAAATAAGTAAATAAATACTATGGACTATAAGAATGTCTCTGCTTCAAATGAGCCATGAGGGGTTGATAAACCATAAAACAAAACAACCAACCAAATTCAGTTGATTATATTTCTTTTAAATTTTTTTCCAGATGGCTTCCTGAGGCTGTGTCATGGTATGGTGCTTACATGTTTAATGCATATCCACTGGACATGAGCCAGTACAAAAGTCTCTTCAAATCAACCAGAATACCAAGGTAAATAATAAAAAATGGCTTTCATCAGATATTAGGAAATTAGCAATATATATATATATATATATATATATATATATATATATTTTTTTACTCAATACAAGGTCTAAGTGCCACTCAAGGTAGAGTTACTGTTGTAAGAGCATATATATATATATATAGTAATGCCTTGAGATACAAGTGTAATGGCATGTTTTTTTGAGATACGAGCTGGAGTTCAGCTAATTTTTTTTTTTTTTTTTTGCCCTGAAATATAAGCTGAATTTTGAGATACAATCAAGTTTCAGTTAAGCATCAGCTAGTTTTCAATCTTAAGGAGTATTTCCAGTCACAGTACACACGTTCACTTTGCTCTGGAAGGATCGCTGTTGTGTAGTGTTGTGTAGTGTTGTGTTTTTTTGCCATTATTTTTGCAAAATTCCTTTAGTGACACCATGGGTCCAAAGAAAGTAAGTGTAAAGAGTAACAGATCTGAAATATTCCCATTAGTTTCAATGGGGAAAATTGATTTGAGATATAAGTTTTTTTGAGTTACGAGCTTGTTCTTGGAATGAATTAAACTCATATCCCAAGGCATTACTATATTATATATATATATATATATATATATATATATATATATATGAGAGAGAGAGCAAGGGTTATATACAGGGCCTTTTTGGGGTCCCTAGGCTAATGAAATTATGGGCCACCCACTAACTTGAATATTTTTTACTTGTGATATATTTTAGCAATATTTCTTTAAATAAACTAGAATAGCTATCTTTTATTTGTCAATAAAAATATTTTTTAAGAAATACTACAATTTTACATTATTTTAAACCAACTTAACACATATTTCAACACAACCATAGTAAAAAAAACAGATTTTCTTTCATCAAATTTCTCAGATTTAAACATTCTGAACTAAAATCAAATGTTATCTACTTGAAACACAATGACACAAACTAAAACATCCTTTTCCTTGCTTTCCTTCCTGAAACGTCAGATAAATACGAGTTTGTCATCTTGATATTTCAGGTTATGAAACCTTATTTAGAGGTTATAACATATGTTATATAACTACCACTCTATGTTGGATATATAACTACTACCCTAACTGGTAGTTCTCAGCAATGCTATGTCGTCAATCCTCTGAAGGAACTAAGGCATAAGCTGGAATATTGTTGTTGTGATAATAACATCAAAGATGAAGACATTAGCCTGAATGTAAATAATGTAAATTCCTCATCCTAGAAATTCAGAAAGAAATTGCTGTGTTAAATAGAAAAGTTACTTCCTTTTTGTTTTACTCCACGTTCCATTTTGATATGCTAGTGATAAAACTAAATTCAGATTATTGACAATTGTATAAAAAATAGGGAAGTTTGGATTCATGCCAAAATATTAGTATGGAATAGCACCCAGATTTTGAAACTATTTTGTCTGTTCCACTTTAGAGTCTTTTACCTGGCCAGTGATTTTACTAATGTTTCTTGTATCCAGCCATGACTATTAGGCATTGGATTTTTGTGTCTGTTCATGTATTTGTTATATTTGATGGCTTTCATGAGTGTTGCAACCTAGGGAAGGTTACTGAATCACATGAAGGTTGGTAATGAACGATAATACTTAGGACAAGAACAACACATATAAGATTCGCCAGCAGCATATAGAAGAAGTAGTCAACTGCTAGAAGTGAGTCGTGAATTCCACAATAAATTTCCAACTGCAGGATATCTACCAACTGCCCCACGCGGTAAGATGTGGCACAAGGCCGAATTTAATGTGGGGTATCCGAGCCTGTAGGTCTGCCAAAAATTCCCTGTAGACCCAGTATAATATGGGGTCGGGTAGCTGTTTCCTGAGACGAGACTCTGCCCTCTGACATAACCTTAACTAGGGATCCTCTCAGCCCAGAGGCAAAGAGTTTGACCAACACAGCTGGAGACGAATCTCTGACTGCAGGCCAACATACAGTATTTACTACTGTATTTCTCTGAATGGGGACATACCCATTATTGTCCGTAGGTATGCTACAACAATGAGAAACCTTTATATGATTTATTGGAAGAATACACTGAAATGATAAGGAAGCTCATCCCCCAAAATGCTCATATAATAGTGTTGTGAAGTAAATGGTAAACCCCCTGGTGACTATATGAACCCGTCCATAACTATAAATAAAGAGCTCCAGGTCAGATGTGAAGAAACTGTTTCGAGTCAATCTTTAGACTAATTAATACAAGTGTCACGGCAAGTAGACAAAACATTACTTATATTATAAGCGCTATGATGAAATGTGTTTTAACAAATAGTAAGAACACCTTGCCTCAGAATTTGAAGCAAAAATAATCCAGACTCAAATATTTACATTATTCCTCAGATTTTCAGCTTTCAATCTCGACATTATATGGAATTGCCATTTTTGTATCTAATAACCTTTACTTTTACTATATGAAGAGTGTTTTTATTTCAGACCAGATAAGGATGAGCTTGTTTCATCTCCAGATAGCCGCCATTTGTTGGTAATGAGAAATGGACACTTTTATACTTTTGATGTTCTTAATGAAAATGGTAAGACTGATTTTTACAGTATAAAGGCTTGAAGTAGAAGTGAAAATAAAAAGGTCACTTTAATTCTTTACACTTTTTTTCATACAAAACGTTACTTTTAATAAAAACTTCTTTAATCATTCTATTTGCATTATAACAAATCCTCTTAACAAAAAAAAAGAACCAAATTTGCCAGGCTACAGTTTTTATTTTTTATCTGAAAAGTAAAATTTGTTGATAGTATCTATATGTTTGTAATATTAGTTTGAATGTCACATTAAAACCATTAACACTTTGCATTATTCTTTAGTATTAATTCCCCTCCCACTGCATTCTTTTTCAAGACCCTTCAGTTCCTTATCCATTGCAGTAAAGATCATTTTCATTGTTATCATAGCAACACAACCACAAATTTCAAACATACTAACATTTGATGATTGGAGTCACTTGCAATGGCAAGAAAACCATTTTGCTTATTTACACTTATTTAATTTTATGAAATTTTGAGAATTTTTTTTTTTAGGTTGCTTAATGTTTACATTAGTTATAAGGATAAGTTCTTGGAGAATTTAAATAATGAAATTTAATTTGATCAAACAGGACCCTCAGTTACTGAAAATCTGCTCTGAATTGTAAAACAAAAATTCAATAAAATTAACGTATTATTTAATTAGAAAAGATTTTAACTGCTTTTATGAATACAATATATTATGAACACTATTGATACTTTGATATCATAGAAATGGCAGGATCTAAATTGCTAAATTGATTGTACTCTGGCATCTTGTGAAACAGTGTGAACACCCATCTTATAGCAAGGCAATGCAAATTATCAAATGGGGCATGATAGTTGAGGCCAAATAAATGGACTATTCCATTTCTGAAACTGTGAGGTATTTGACATCCTTTGATCTATGTTGACATGTGTGTATTAGGAATAGCTAATAGTCATGACTAAATGTAACTGGTTAGAATTGTCTGCAGTCACAAATAAGTGATTCTGGTTCAAATCCCATCTACATTCAATGTATTAGGTACCTGACATCCCCAGCCCAATGATTGGAGTCACAATTACTATTTAACCAAATTCACAAACTAACACTTTAATCCACTAGGCTATTGTCATGAGCAATGTGTATTTGAACTCAGTGAAAACAGGGTGCACAATAAGTGAGCAGTATTAAAAATAAAAGCTACAGGAGATATCCTTAGACATTGGAAGTGGAACAAAAACAGTCTATCACCACAGATTAAATAAAGGATTCTGTTCAAAATTCCCTGTTGGTTATCCAAATAGATATGCAACTGATGAAGGCCAGATGGTACAACAAGCTGAAATGTTGTGATAGCAACAACAAAGATGAGGACAATAGTTCAAATGTAAATATCTTCTCTTAGTCTGACAAAAGTCTAGAACACATCTCACTCCAAAATAATAATAGTCTACTAAAGTAACTAACCATTACCCTCATGGCAAATCAGTCTCTTATGGGTTAAAACCTCCACCAGGTAAAAATAGACTGATTTAATCTTTTTATCATTTACATTTGTCATTTCCATGCTAGCAAACAATAACCAAGTCTATTTTTCTTCATTTATCTCTTCCTCTCCCAGGCAGCATCAAACCAGCTAATGAAATCCTTGCTCATCTGAAATACATTTCGGAAGATTCCCGGCCTCCTGCTGAATATCCTGTTGGGGCCCTGAGCACAGAGACGAGAGACACGTGGGCAAATATCCGGCCACATTTGTTGGCATGTGGTAATACAGTTTTTTTTCTTCTGCTGTAATTGACTTGAATATGAAATACATTTTAAGCAAAATACGCAGTTACCTCCCTTGTCAATCGAATCTCAATTATCCTGTTTCTTTATTTCGATCTGTTCTTGTCTATTTAGATTAAACTTACCAACAAACTTATTATTACAAATATGAATTTGATAATTGCTCAAGATATGAAATAATTATCTTCATAAAAGAAATACATCATTACTATAGTTTATTGTAGTTTAAATAAAGTGAACAAGAATGAAGAACTATACATGCTTATCAATTTCTGCTACAGATGTGAACTAGAGGGGGAAATATTTGGGCTGTAAGGGTTGATTCTTTTTACCAATTCTTGATCACACTTAAGATATCTCTTTTCTCTTCTTTCTCTACTTCTACTTCTCTCAAAACTGCTGCTTCTTTTTAATTCTGGCAATCACAAAGCTAGCTCCTGCCTTGCATTCTAAAAGCAATGTTACAAAAAAAAAAAGCCAGAAAAAACCCCATTGAATCCCCCCACCTTATATGGATATTTATTACCCATAATGCTCTGTTTTTTGGCTCTCCCCTCATTTACTCAGTTCCTCTGAAGTTATTAAGGTAAATAAATGACACTTCTCCCTCTATACATTTATTCAAACCACAATTACTAAAAGTATTGATATTGAAAAGTATAGTGAAGCAGCAGCAAGATTATACGCTAATTTGTTTGAACGAGTATCTTCAGCTTGGTGTTTATCACACTTTGACTGTTGTACTTTTTGGCCTTCAGATCTCTGTCATATTTTGTAACTTTCTAGTAATTTTGAATTGAATTCTTTATTCAATACAAAGGGGGACAGGTAGATTGTTTTCATTTGTCTGTCCACACTCAAAGATATCACATATCAGTTAATTCTGTTGAGTTAACTCAGACACCTGAAGAAGGGTACAACAAACAAAATTTTGTCACAAAAAATAACCAAAATGAAATGCATGATAATGTCAATTCCTCATCACAAAAATTCCAACAAAAAATTTGGAAAATCTAGCAGTTTTACAGTTGAAGTCAAGATCCCAATTTTAAAAATTTCATAATCTTTGCATTCTTCTATTTTTCCCTCCCAGCTATGGGTTAAATAGTAGGAAGTGTATCCCCCCAAAAATTGCTATCTCCAAAAACTTGTTAGTAAAATATTCACTCGCAAGAAAAAAAAAAATCTTACAATCCAAAATATGTTTCAGCTTTAAATAACCCACAAAGGGTTGATAAGCCGTAAAAAAACAATCCAATCAATCATAATCTCTGCAACTATTCAGAAACTTACACATTTTTGTCAACTAGTCATTTCTTTCATTTACTTGAAAATCATAACCTCAAAAGTCTTCAAAATTCGAAAGGTCATTGAATTATTGATTTTATTTTTTAAACCTTATCAACCTTTTTTTTAACATATTTTAAGATTGTAATATTTTTTTTTTTTTTGTGAGTGAATATTGTATTAATAATTTTTCAGAAATAATGATTTTCAGATACAAGATGTACTACTTAAGCTGTAGCTAGGATTAGAAGGAGTGGATTCATACCTTTCATAAGTGTGTAAGTGAACGTAATAAACTTGACCGTAATTGAATTTGGCTCTCTGACTTCTCATTCTGAGCCATTATCCCTTAAAGCCTCTATACATCCAAGCTTACAGCACCCAGTATTCCCAAGTGGTGTCTCAGAATTAAAATTAAACAAAAAAATGTAACTGAAACTTACATGAAATAGCTTTAAGATTTCTCATAGATATCAGGAAATTTTTGTTGATTATTAAATTTTAATTATACCTAAAGTATTAATTTTTTTTGTTTCTTTTCCCTTCATATGTGTCAGAGAATTTACTACAAGAATAGCCTAATGATGAAAAAAGAATTTGACACCTTTGAACACTTCTTACTTTTATTTTGTATAGACAAAGCAAATTTGTCAAATAAAAATTTGTTTCAACAATTTTAGATACTTTCTGAAAATGATCAGCTGATTCAATTGATGCAACAAACTTTTTTTTTATAACTGAGTTTTGCTTGTTAGACTATTTAGGTTGCAATTTGAGAAAAACTATTATATAGATTTTGTATTTCCAGGTAATGAAGAAACTCTTAAAATGGTGGACAGTGCTGTGTTTGTCATCTCCTTAGAATCTCAGTCACCACCGACAACAATTGAAATGATTGAAACTTTTCTGCATGGAGATGGTGCAAACAGGTGAGATTTTATAACTCTGTTATTGTTTTGCATTTTATAAATATGAATAAAAAAGAATATGACAAATTGTAAATCTGTGTATATAAAGTTATCTTTCCTTGCATTTGAAACTGGGTAATAAAGGATGTAGTTAAGAAATGAATTTCATTAACTGACCTGACCTGTTACGGCATTCATCACTTCAGTTGATCTAGTTCCATCAAATAAAGCTGTTACATCCAAACAAGATCTTACCAAGCATAGAAGATGTATGCATAGGAGTTTCAGTGAGAATCTGAATTCACAATTGGTCCCAAGCCACATGTATACACACTTTTAGGATAGTGTGATCCGGTTTAAATTCAGTTTTCTGCTCTTGGAATGGTTGCTACCCAAACCTATAGGGCCCATTCTGTCCTGCTATTTTACCTATATCTGGGGTAGGGGAGGGGAGAAGAGATGAATTTATACCTTTCCTAAGGATATTAGCACATAAGTGAATGTAGTGAACTAGACTGGAATCCAAACACGGCTCTCCAATTCCTCAATCCAAGCCACTAACTATTATTCTACCATGCCTCCACATTTCATTAACCATTGATAAGCAACTGTAGTAATAAAAAAATACATGTAATTACATTTTTGAATGCTCTTTAATACTGTTATAAATTTTGTTAAAATTTAAAGTAACTATTTAGCATCCATAATATATTAGACTTTCCTGCATTTTTGGACGAAATCTTTAACTTTTTTAATCATTTCATCTCCAAGCAAAGCAATAAAGCTACTAAGATGTAAGTAGTTACTGAATGTTAAAAAATATGAGAAAAAAGGAAAACATTATTAAGAAGAGAGAGCAATGAAAGAACAAGAATTAAGAAGACAGAAAATAACGATGGACATTGCATTTAAATTTTTGAAGATCAAAATTAGCTGGAAAAAAAGAATCCAGAAGTGTGTTCCACAAACAAGAATTGCTAGAAAAGAAACTGTTAGCAGAGAATATAAGGTTACATCTAACCATTTTAACTGTAAAATGATGAGGTTTTGCCACCAATCTAGTAGTACTGTTAAATTTGAACATTTTATTCCTAAAAAGTCAGCATTATTATTCTGAAAGTAACTTCCTAGAATCTGAAATATGTTTTTCTTTAAACATTTCACACCAAACAAGGCAATAAAGCCACTAAAATGCAAGTGCTTACTGAATGTTAGAGAATATAAAAAAAAAAAAAACACTATTAAGGAAACAGAATAAAAGAACAAGAATTAAGAAGACAGAAGATAATAATAATTGACATTGAATTTAAATTTTTGAAGATCAAAGTTGTCTGGGTAGCAAGAAACCAGAAGAGAGTTCCACAAGTGAGAAGTGCAAGGAAAGAAACTGTTCGCTTAGAACTTACATCTAGCTGTTTCAACTGTAAAATAACAAAACCTTGCTGCCAATCTAGTGCTACACTTAAATTCATAAAGTCTAGGTACCATAGAGGAAAGTGATATTTATTCTGTTTAATACAGAAATGTGGCACATGGCCGAAAAGGGGATTGGGGAAAGGATGGTCTTCTTCTGTCTTAACTATAACTTAGCAAGCCACAAGCACTGACCCAATCTTACGAAACAATATTCCTTACACTAAAACAACACATTCATTCGTACCTTTCTCACTACAACCACCATAATACCTCTTTGTCTCTGTGAAAATACTAACTAGTCCCCATATTTACAATTCATTGTCTGGGGGGGGGAATAAAACAACAATTCTAAAAACTAGCCCCAATGAGTATTTACAATATGAATACAAAAACTATTTACAAGAAACTAAAGAAAATAAGATTAGTAATAACCCCCCCCGTCACTAAATGTGGGAGAAACATCAGTTAACTGGCCAAAATCAACGTGGGACTATAATAGTATAAAACGTTCATTCATCCCAAGCACTCACGCAGACAAGCACTCATTCAGACACAACAAATACGAAAAACCACTCACATAAACGAAAGGCGCCCCACATCCACCAGTGAACTGACATCACTGACCACCTAACGAGGGAGGGCATGGGGAATTAAACTTAAAGAAAAATAGGGACAGAAATAAAAGGGGCCAATGAGCATACATACCCTAGCTAAGTTAACTGAAAAAGGAAACTAAAGAATCAAATTAAACCTAAAGCCTAAAAGTTAAGGCCTAATTTTTGGATGGGATGGGTTGACAACACCAAGTTCAACCCAGGAAGAGCAATATCCGGATGCCTAACCGCATCAATGTGCCACTCAAGGTCAGCCCCTTTTTCACACAACACAAACGTGCCAGATTCACCCACCTTTTGTTGAATTCTGATGAAGTGAGCTGCCATTATTCCGTCCTAATCTTGACTTTAAAGACCAATGCTTAAAGTACAAGATCAGTTGGGAAGAGGTGAACTTCTCGCCTTCATAGAATCCCTTCTGACGTGTCGTCCAAATTATGACTCTCATAATGCCTAGCAAGCAGTGGAACACATACTGTTCAGCCTTCATCAGCAACGTGTGGTGCCGTGCCTCAAGGGACAAAAACGGAACTTTCCTCAAGGACAAAGAGGGACCTTTTCAAACTTGCAGTATGCATGAAAGAAGGCGTAACCCAAGGTCTCGACCTCCCCACAACAGAGTTGGCAGTTTGAGATTTTCCAAGCCAGCTGAGCAAAGTCTTTTGGCGACCCAGAGGCCCCATGAATCACCAGCCAGGTGAGTGATGCCTCATCATTATTGAGGCATTTCAACCCAGGCTATTTGCCCAAGGCCATATTGATCCTTCTTGAGCCTCCTGCTCCGACCATATAATTTTTTGGTACCAGAAAGGGAAGACCAAGCTCGTCAATCAGTTCATCACAGATTGGAGAAAACCCCCCCTTGACTAAAACTTGATATAATGCCCTATGAGACAACACCTGGAAGTTGAGAGGCCATCCGTCCAACGCCTGTAAGAGGCGTTTCAGAGCTGTTTTGTCAACGACATTCACGATAGAAGGAGCATTTGGCTTTATAAGTTGGTAAACGGTGGGCCTCCTCTAACATACAAGTGTACACTTCTCAGGGATGGGAAGTTCTTACAGGCGTCTTCCTTCCAGAAGGTGCCCTCCTCATGAACTGGTTTTGTTTGACCCATTCAATCTAGAAAGCTGATGCGAAGCATATATTGACGAATCTCAATGCTTGGCATGTCCAGACTGCCTTCAGATGGGTGAAGGCAACAGATCTCCTGAGTGACTCTGGCACCCTTGCCTCCCCACAAGAGCTTCACTAACGCCAGTAAAGTGTCATACAGAAGTGGAAGCACAGAGAGTTGGTAAAGGAGAATCAGGTAGATGTGTGAAACACATACTTCTGCCCTCCCTTTAAAAAAAAAGGAAAGATTCCTCAAAGACCACAAATTAATTGCAATCTCCCGGCCTTCCTGGAGGAACACCCTCCGACCAATTCATTTCCAACTGGAGATCAGGACCAAACCAGACGCCGAGAATCTTGACCGGCCCATCTGTCCAGTGGAAAGGTCCGGGAAGAGAAACTCCCTTCCACGCACCCAACTGCAAGCCAACAGACTTATCACAATTGATCTTGGCCCCTGTCACCATCTCATAACAACTGATTTCTTTGCTGACTTCATTAATCTTGGCTCTGCTCGACACAAGAGCCAAAACGTTATCAGCATAGGCAGAATACCTGGCCGATTTGGTAGCACTGGGCAGGGCAATTCCACGTTGGACCGGATTCGCCTTTAACTTGCGAAGGAAAGGTTCCACTACAAGAACATAAAGCAAAGGCAAAAGCGAACAACCTTGACGACTGGAGCGAGACAATATGGTCACATACAGAAGTCGGATCCAGGTGCGAAAGTACGGCCTGAAACTGTCCGCCAAATGAACAGCCTCCAGAAACCTATGGTCAACCCTATCGAAGGCCTTGGACTGATCTAAATTGATCAGCGCGGATTCACTGTCGTCTTGCTCGATGATCAGACGTACCATATGAAAGTTGTCCTGAATAGTCCTACCCTTCACAGCACAAGTCTGTTCCGAGCCAATCAGACTAGACAAGACAACCTGCAAACAGTTAGCCAAGACCTTAGCCAAAATCTTTAACTCTGTGTTTAACATAGTTAAAGGGCAAAAGTTACCTAACCCATCCCCACCGTTTTTGTCTTTGCGTAACAACTTGATCATGCCCCTGGTGAAGCATTGGGGTATAGACCCCTGCTTCATCCAGTTGCTGAAAATCAGTGCCAGCAGGGGAACAGAAACGGGCAACTGCCTCAAGTACACTTCGTACGGAAGGCCATCTAGTCCCGGAGATTTGTCCAGGCCAACCTGTTTCAGCGCATCCCAGATTTCCGACTCTGTTATGGGACCCTTGCACCTAGCCGCTTCAGCTGCCTCAAGGCAGGGAAATCAGCTAAATAGGCGTCGAACTGAGCAGGGCTCAGACCGGGCTCCCTGGTGAAAAGCTCCTGAAAGTAGTCACGAAAAGCCTCACATATGCCCTCGTTTGTTGTCACAGTCCGCTTATCCAGCAATGTGACGCATGCGAAATGTCGCAGTGATGCATTCCGAGCTTCTTCTGATCGCAATTCAGCAGCCATATTTGTTGCCTCAGAGGACATTCTTTTTAACCTAGCCCTAACTAACAGAGCTTGATCCTTCTTGATAAGTGTTGTGGTAGGATCCACCTAATTTGCATAGTGGAGTACCGACCATATAAATATTGTTGGTACCGGGAAGAGAGGGAGTAATCAAGAGATTCAACTAGAGACTCTGCCCGACTGCGACTCAGTCAACACATTCTCCAGGAACGGTCTTACCAGGAATATATAAAAGACTATATGTAAATATTGTGTACACTTTCTTGTTTCTGCTCTAAAGCCATTTGCGCCGCTAATCTATCTAGATTGAGCCAATGACTATAATCAGCAGCAAACATTCTGATTTTGGATTTTAAATTATCCAACCAGGCATTTCCCACAAACGCTCCCGTCAGTTCCCTTTGTATCATTAGTAGCAGCTGGTCCCGGAAATCTTGCTCACCAAATAATGATGAATTTAATTTCCAGTAGCCAGCCATCATAACATAAGTTTACATGGACCCAGACAAGCCTATGATCCGAATAAACTATCTCATGGAAACTTGGACACCCTAAGAGTCCTGCATCGACTCTCCTAACTAAGATTTGGTCTAGATAACTAGCCGAACCGCCACTATTAGTCCAAGTCCACACCACCTCCCCATTCAATAGTTTGTGGGGGGGTTTCTTGTTCATTCATTTTGTACATTTATTGACAAGATCAAACCTGTCAATAAAGTCCCGAAATGGTTTCACGTCCCCGTTGTTGTTAATACCGAATTTGTCCCTTTCTGATCTATATTGGGATCAAGGACAGCATTCCAATCATCCACTAAAACTACCCAACGTGATGTCGTCAAAAACGGCTCAATCTGCCGAAACAAAGCAGGCCGCTCAGAATGGACATTGGGTGCACAAACCCCAATGAGACGAAGACCCTTATCCTTTATGGTAATATCCAGCACGCAAAGTCTGCCCGCTGGATCCGCAAAGACAAGAACACACGCAGCCTTCAAAGACTTGCTCACCAGCCAAGAGACACACCTCGAGTGTCCATCAAAACATGCTGAATAGAGGGAAAAACCCCTAGACAGAATGCCCTCATAGTTGCGAGAAGAAAACTGGGTCTCTTGCACACAACAGATATTCACCCCGAGACGCTGAAGGTCACGAGAGAGCCTCGCCCTGCGAGACTCCGACCTCAGGCCTCAGGCATTCACACTTGCTAACCAGAGAGCCATAATGAAAGCCGATTAGGGTTGCTCTCCTGCATTGAACATGGCCGGAGTCAGGACACTGATGGCCTCTCCCATTGAGCCAGTACCCATCTCACTCTTGATGGTGCCATCAGGAGACAGGCCGCCAATATCCAAGGGGAATGTTAGCTTTAATGCCCTATAAAGGGAGGGGTGAACAAAAATTGGGAACCTCCCTGAACAAAATTGCTGCAGTTTTTTGACATTCTCGTTGTCAAAACAAGACATAGGCGGAAACATGCCAAATGCTCCAGGACCCTCTTGGTGTTTGGAAAGTTCCGGGGGTTTTCTATGTCTAAGTTTTTGATTTTTCTAAAATTTAATAGGGCTTTTAAATTTTTCATTTTCTTAACGTGTAGTAGAGCCTTCTCCTCTATGTCTTTCGAGACGCGGCACACGTCTTCTCCTGTGTTGTATATTTTTTTAATTCATTTTTTCAACTGTAGGTTCAGACAAGTCTGAAGAGGGGCTTCTTTGCCTTTTTTGTTGTTCTGTTTTAGAGGGAGAATTTATGGGTGCATGCATGGGGGAATGATTGGGTGATGGCATTGGGGATTTTTTCCCAGATGATTTGGGCACGGGAGCCTTCTTCAAAGTGGTCATATTAGATTTGACTTTTGCTATTGGTTGGACGATAGGGGGCGGGACCATGGGATATTGTTTTGATTCAGGGGATGACGGTGCAGAAAAAGAGGTGCCAGTTTGTTTTTCGGGATCCTGTCTTTTGTTTTTTAGAGACTCCATTAGTTGCTGCAGTTTTTGTTTTTTTGGTATGATGGCTCATATTGTAACATTTTCTGTCGCAATTTATCCAAATAGCGGGCCGGAGAATTGCCCTTTGCACTGGTTGAGGGAGTGGGGCTGTTTGTGCCTTTTCCTGTTTTTGGTGTGGAATGAGGTTCTGCTGCCTGGGTCTTCGCTTTAGCCCAACCAACGACCTGCCATTCCCCCTTCCCTTCTCCCTAACTGCACTAGCAGCGGGCAAAGGCTTTTCGGGGAATGGGGGCTGAGATTTGGACCCAACCGGGGGATTTTCCACACCGGTCCCGGTTGCTGGCATGCCCACTACAGGCGAGATGGATTTGGTAGACTCGACCAAAGGGAGATTTGGTTGGGTAGAGCCAGAACTTCAGAGGCCTTCTTCTCCGTGCAGGAAGAGGAAAGGTGACCAGTCTTTCCATACTTGCAGCATGCCGGTTTTCGCCCAGTAACAATTATCGACATTTTCTGGCCCTCTACATCCAGACAATTGGGGATGGAGGTAAAGGCATTCCTGTCAATCATCAATTCAAAACTCCATCCCCCGGTCAGATTGTCTGAGGAAGCACTGAGTATCTGTCCAAACTGGCACAGATAAGCAGCCAGATGCTCCCCGACAATCTCAGAGGAACCTCATATACTGAAACCTTGGTCCTCTGCCTGCCTTCCTACTCAGTCTGCAGTATGAGGTGTTTTGTGATTAGATCACGAGTAGTCCCTCCCTCACAATCGGTAGGCATGGGTAACAGTACGTCCCGCATAAAGAAGCCTTTCCCTTTAATGACCCTCTGAGCTTTAATGCCCAGAGAAGTCAAGGCTTTGATCACAGTGTCTTTTGTGGAGCAACAAATCTTGTGCGAACGCTTGTCCACTACAAAGACTGACACAATTCGTTTTTCAACTTTCTTGAGTTCCACGAGATTGGACATGAGCCCATCTGCTGTCACCAGATGTGCGTAGCTCTTGGCTTTCTCCAGGAACTCCGTCATGTTAATCTTACACTTGGGCGGGGACTTCCAGCAAAAGGGCATCTCTCCGGCCGCTTTGTTTCCATCATTATTTTGGGATGTCTGCCTAGATGATACTTGGCTACTTTCAGCCACCATACTGTTGTCATGTTGGCTTTTTTTTTATTGTCAGCATTTTGGCAGCTTTTGGCCACCATATTCTGGTCTGGATCACTGGATTCAATAACTGTATTTTGGCCATTTGAGGCCACCATACCTTTTTCTGGACTCTTGATTTTGTCTTCTAAATTTTCAACATTAGAAGACACCATACTTTTTTCGTCAACTTTTTGGCTTTCTTGAGAATCCATTTCTAAATCTTTATCCGGTGGGTCTTTTTTCTTTTTTCTAGATCCAAACAGGTTTTGTTTCACCATTTTCTTGGCACCCATTTTTTAAAACAAGTTTTTTTGTTTTTTTTTTCCTTTCACATAAAACAGAAAACAACAAATAAAAGTATAATTTAAATGAAAGATAAATACGAATAAATCACAATAACAAAAAGACATTTAACAAGACAGAACAACAAACAGTTAAACACGCAAAAATAAATTACAGAAACACGTACGCAAAGAGGACAGAATACGTTAAAAATAAAACCAGTTAACAATTACAAAATGCGAGTATGCGAAGGAAAATCACAATTTAAGACGGAAAATAATCAAAAAGTATCTTTTTTTTTTACAATAATGCAACAGAAAATACGAAACGAAAAAATGCCAAACGAGTTCACAAAAACAATATGGCTGCCACTAGAAAATTCTAGTCAGCCCAAACATGAACATAAATATGAAAAATAAATACAAAAAGATACAATAAACACAGAAAAGATTTAAATAAAGGAACACAGAATATTTAACAGTTATTTACAAGGAACGACAAAGAAACAATGAAAACACATAGAAATAAAATGTAAACAAAGAAAACGAAGTCTGATGTGGGGAAAATAAACAATGAAAAAATAAAGTTTGGCGTGGGGAAGTTACTAAAAATTAAGAGAAAATTAAAACTCAAAAATAAGTATTAAAGAAAATGAAAATTAATAATAAAGAAACAACAAGGGATAAAGTATAAAAAAAAGAGGGGAGGAAAAAGAAAGAAAAAGAAATCAAACTTTTGGCAAAAAAGTCAATAAATGGAAAGTAAATTGATAATTAAAATGAACTTAATGTGAAACAAAGGTTGAAATCAAAACAGTTTGTAAGTAATTACAAATACGTCTGGCGTCAAGCACCGGTCGTACACTGTTTGAACCCTCCTCACAAAGGTACCAGAGAGGAAAGTTCATTAGAACAATTACCATGAAAGTATTTATAGAAAATGCAGAGGGAAGCTATGTTACAGTAGTGGGAAAGTGACTGAAACTGAGATACCAGGTCAGGACCCATAACATTGCAGATTCTTTTAAGAATCTCTAAATATATAGCAGGAGCACCAGACTAGATGTGGCAGCAATATTCAAAGCAAAGACGAATGATAGACTTATAAATGTGTAAGATAGATTCTGGAGAGAAAAGTTGTCTAACACAACACTGAACCAATTTTCCTAGCAGCAGACCTAGCAATCGATTCGATCTAATTTTCCACTTCATGTCAGCAGAAAATGTTAATCTGAAAAGGCACAATGAGTCACTCTCTTGGAGGTTAGCATCAGCCATGTTGATGGGAGACAAAAAGGGCTTCTCTAAGATTTCATTTTAGAAGCATTAAAATTAACAAGCCCATTCCTTGCCCCAGTTATCAACAGATTGCTTTATTTTCATAAAATTAATATTATTAACGTATTCCTTGACACGTTGGCTATTGCGACCTTTACATAATGCATTCTATGTTTTTATTACTGTTGCCATTAGAAATTACTATATTAGACTACTTAGGCTTTATTTTGATAAAATTAAAATTAATACCACATTTACTGCTACTTTGGATATTTGAATCATTATAAAATGACAGCTATTTTTTTATTAGAGATACCAATCATAATTACTATATAAAGCTATTTCTGTTTTAATTTGATAAATAAATTATTAAGCAATAAAGAATGATGGTAATGTGTATCCTTGTAACTAGCTTTGAATTTATTTTCTCTACAGTGCCATGTATAGAATGGGCATATTTATGCACATGTGTTATGTGGCATTAAAGAGGTCAAGACTTCATATTGAAAGAAACAAGTGTTACTGAAGAACATTCAACAATAAAGCATTGAGATTTTAAGTGTATTTCTTCTATGAATTTAATTCGTTTTTTGTTTTTTTTTATGTGTAGATGGTTTGACAAATCCTTCAATCTGATAATACCTCCTGATGGACGTTCCAGTCTCAACTTTGAACATTCCTGGGGAGACGGTATTGCTATGCTCCGTTATGCAAATGAAATGATCAAGGATTCAAAAGAAAGACCTGCCATTCACCCTGACACACAAGCATCGACTTCAGTTGACTCTTCCAAATGTGTTCAGCATCTTAGTAAGTAAATTTAATTTATTTAGAGTGCAACCAGGACAGAGCAGTTTGACCCAGTTAGGCAGTTGTCCTGTTTATACAAAGCACAATATATCAGTGACAACTCTCGCTTTTGGGTTACTGAGCCTGAGTAATGCCACTATCAGGTCTATCTCAAACCAGCAAGCAATGTCTCAGCTGAACAGAATGTTCATTCATTCTTGACTGGTAATAATTTATGACTGTGACACAAATTTAAGTCCAAACTATTAAGAATACAAAAACTTTAAAGTGGGTTTAATTCACTATCTTTCAAGGAATACAGCTTTGTTTCATCTTCATAAATTTAAATGTTGACTAAAATAAATTTACTGTTCATAAACCTAACAATATTAGATGAAAAATGTTGGCACTAGCTTGAGCAAATTCATTTCAGCCCAGTGAAACTAATAAATAAAACTTCATTCAACATTCTAATGAGTTAGGCTAACAAATTTATTTCCGAACTATTAAGAATTATCTTAAAAATTTCTTATTGTTTTAATTTACTATTTTTGAGCTATATGGCTGTTACAACTTCAAAGCTTAAAATCTTGACTCAAATATTTGCACTTCATAATTTTATATGAACAAAATTTAACGAGGGGAAACTGAATTTAGCCCAACCTGTTGAAATAAACATTAATACAAAACCTGAACAGTTAACACCATTTACTAAACAACTGTAAATGTAAACAACTGTTGCCTATCTTTATTATTATATTTAGTCAATTAGTGACAGTTTTTATGTAAATAAGAATTGTGTAATACTATTAGCATTATTTCTATTAAAGTAAAAAAAAAAAACAACATATTATGCATAATAAGTAACAACATAAATTATAGTTTTAATAACATTTACTTCATTAAAATATTACTTCTATTTTAAAATTATTTTTCTATAAATTAGATGAATTAAAATATTAAATTTCATTAATAAATAAATTTCCATCAAAGTTTTCAAAGAAGTTAAATGATAACTGGTACAAATTAAAACAGAAATAGCCTTATATAGCAATTATGATTGATATCTCTAATAAAAAAAAATAGCTGTCATTTAATAATAATTCAAATATTCAAAGTAGCAGTAAATGTGATATTAATTTTAATTTCATCAAAATAAAGCCTAAGTAGTCTAATATAGTAATTTCTAATGGCAACAGTAACAAAAACATAGAATACATTATGTAAAGGTCGCAATACCCAACATGCCAACGAATACATTAATAATATTAATTTTATCAAAATAAAGCAATCTGTTGTTAATTTTAAAAAGTACAACTAATTATTTAGTCAAAATAACAAAAATGTCACAAAAAAAAAACCTTTATTCATTCAAATGAAAAACATTCATATTAATTAAATAATTTACAACATTATTTATTTTATTAAAAAAATTAGTTACTTTTGTTGCAACTCAGAAACCAATCCAAACTTTAATCATACCCCAAAACCAAAGTTTGACTTTATTTCCTTTATATTCATAGATAAGGCAGGGTAATGCAACTCTTGTTTTATGACTTTTATTTCAGTTACAGTTGCCATTTTTAGTCCTGTACAGGGTGCAATGGATAAATTGTCTAAATTATGCAAATATTAAAATAACAATAACTCATTTTAACACATATTTACCAAAATTATACAAATATATCTTGAATTACTAAAGAGTAAATTTAAACAACTTTGGAATCACCTGCAACTCTTTTGGACGCTTTCTTGTTGGTGAATGCTGCCATAATCCTTGCCTTCAGTTCATCTTTGGTGTTACAAGGTGTTTTGTTGGCCTCCCACTCAACTGTGCCCCACACATAATAATAATCAAGGGGGTTACAGTTTGGGGAGTTAGGTGACCAGATGTAAGGGATGATGTGGTTGTAGAAATTGTTTGGCAGCCATCATTGGGTTCTCCTGCTTGTGTAGCATGGTGCAGAATCCTGTTATCAGACATAGGGTCTTCCAGCAGCCACCCTCTTGACCCAGGGTGACACTACCTCCTCAAGGCACTTGATGTAGGTCTCCATGTTAAGTCTGAGGCACTGTGGGAAGATGAATGGAGGCATAACATCACCATCACTAGTGATCACTCCAAACACCTTCGTAATCACCATTACACTCATCCAACTCTTTCTGAACCCTCTGAAATGTTCATATTGGAGCTTCCATCATGACTGCCAAGCAGTACAGCATGACATTTCCAAATTTCTGGCCTAGTGAATTGTGTCATGGTGCTCTTTTTCTCACAGACGGTACTCAACTGACCCTACTATAATGTGCAGTTGACACAATCAAAATCAAACAATGCACATGCACAAAATTAATAATATAAAATGGCGACAATTTACCCATCACACACTGTATTTCTGATTTATCAAAATTTAAATCAGTTGGTCATCCAAAATTGACAAATTAAATGTCCAAAATAAATTTGAACTGATATTTCTGAAACCAAAATCTCTGTATACAAAACATTAGCATCCTAAAGAAAACTATAATTTAGTTTCATTAATTAAATTTTGGTTTCCTCACTAACATAGAAAAAGGTTGTTTCTATTCAAATTACAATGAATTACGATTTTGCTGCTGGAGTTGGAACATCAGATCAAAATAGCCAGAATTTCCCAAGAAACTGCATTCACTGTTTGAGTTGCAACACAATATAAATAAATGGTTTATTTAATTTTTCAGTTCCTTAAAATATATTGTCTATATTTATATAAAAAAGAAAACAAAATTTTCCAATTTAGAATGAGCTTTGGGAAATAGATATATAGAGCAGTGGTTCCCAGTCTGATTCCATGGGTGATAACCATAAAAATGCTACTGGGGATCTGTAAACTTACTGAGTGGACAAAATATTTTTTTTTTTTTTTTTTAGTCTCTATATAAAATATATCTACTATTTGTGGTGTTTATTTTAAAATAGTTCAGTGGCTATACATTATTTTTTTTTTTTTTTTTTAATGAATAATTTTACTTTATATTAAAGAGTAATATAGTATAAGTGTTAGTAATATTACTTTTATAACAATTAGTAAGGAGATGGAAAAGAAAATGTTCTTCTAAAAAAAGAGATCACGATTGAAAAATTGTGCAAAACCAGTGTTTAAAAGTTTTGGGCTGTCATTGTCTTTGATCTGTGGCTGCTAGTACAAGACAATTAGTAGCACTAACAGATCAGTCATGCAAAAATATCAAATTATTATTTCACTTGGCCCTTGTTTGTAAAAAGAATTCCATATTTTTTCCACCAAATTTCATTTTGAAGAGACTTTTTACTGAAGAATTTACTTAATATTTAAAATGTTAATGATTTCATTTTCAAATCAGATGGTATGAACAGTTTGGTTGATTATGTGCAAGTGTATCAAAAGAAAAACCATATTGTTGGCCATGCTTGCTTTTTCAGCCCAAATCATATCAATTGTGGATTGATGGCAGTTACAGGAATTTTAAACATATTCTAAGTGTCTGCTATCATCTTTCTAAATCTATGAGTCATTTAATTACAAATGTTTAAAAATATTTGGTGTATGCAGCATCGTAATTGCTATTAATGAGTCTACAAAGCTTGAAAAGGAGTGATATAATAAATTAATTGAAGAAAATAGACAATATTTAAAACAATTACTAAACAACATATATCAATGCAAACAAGAACTGTCTTTGCAGGATATGATGAAAGAAAAAATAGCTTTCACAAAGGTAATTATTGTGATTTTATTTGCTGAAATAGATAGTGTGTTTGCATCAAGACTTTCTACCAAAGAAAGATCTAAGCATTTTTCAGGAGTTTCAAGTACAACAAAAAATGACATTACTAACCCAATAATTGATGCAATTCAGACTTAGCGGGGAAAAGTGCACCAATTATTTTAATGCATGTACATGATACTATTAACCGTGCAATGCATGCTTGACTCTCTATTATTGTCAGATATGTAACTGGATGCAAAATAAATGATTTTTTTTATTATTCTATAAAGTGAGAAAATTTGTTAAACACCTTTTGTAATGCTAAGACTAAAGTGATTTGGTAAATGTATGATGAAGCAACTGCGATGATAAGTGAATGAAATATGGTACAAAGAAAAAAGAATGTTTAAATACAATTTTATTAATTGTTGTATTTAAACATTCTTTTAATTAATTGTTATGCCAGCTAGTAAAATTTTTGAATTGTGAGGTTAAAAACTTAATGAATTTGTGAGGAGCAAGAAGACTTGCCTCCCGTAAAGTGAATTTGCATGGCGTGTCAGGTCTTGTTAAAACATTATGACCGATGTTCAAAGCAAAAATGAATTATTCCAAAACTCTTATATTGTGGGCAGGCGTACTACAAAAAATAAAAATAAAAAAGACTAAAAATTCAAGCCAGCGTAAATTTATAAGATCGGAAGTCTCGGGTGAACGTGAAGTAAGTCTCGTATGCAAATGTTAGTTGCCCCCCCGACGCGGGCATAAATAGCGAGTCTGTGAGGACAGAACGTATTGTTGGCGTGATGGCGTACATACTAACGAGAATGAGAGAATAGGAGGTCACTAGCAATAGCTCAGTTGGTAGACTGGAGGACTGGATGAAAGCGAGCACTTTAATCTATTTCAGTCATCGCAAATGACGGGCAAACTGAATTACACACAGAATTAAAAATAAATCCACTATTTATGTAAGATGCATAGATGATATTTTTATACAAACAAAAACTGTCAAGGATATTATAGAACTTAAAGAAAATGTATATGGTCTGTACCGAATGTATACAGTCCTTAAATACTAGAATATTACAAATATTTACACAACCAATCAGAAAGCAGCTTTAGAGATACCATTAAATGAGGTTGGATTCACAATGGTGAAGTGAGTAGGTTCATGACACTGCATGTAGGGGTTTGGGATAAAACATTACATCAGCTATGACCCAGGTCTGTCAGCTGTGATGACAGACCAGATTTGGCTTCTTGCTACTTCTAGCTATTCTCAAATTTAAAATCAGTATTGAAATGCCATAAACAAGATTAAAGAGAATGTGACAAGGCAGCTGATGGCAATTCCAGAATAGTACTTTACAGTCTGCTTTGAAAAAGGCAAGGGATGCCTGGATAACTAAACAGACCAATTTTCTGTTTCAGGTTTTAGAGACTTCATTTTTTTTTTTTTTTTCATTTTCAGTAAAACACCCCCCCCCCGTTTTCAGTATAGATTTATTTTTTCTTTGCTATAATACTCAGTGAGAAGGTGTAACTATATATAAATGTTATTAAAACAATAAAATAAAACATTTCACTCACTGAAACAACCACCAATTGCATAAGTTGCTCCAACATGATAGGGTTTTATGCCTCATACTTCAGCCTTTAATCTAACTTGATGAGTTTCTGGGATAACCCTTGCAAAGAATTCTACAATCCTAAATAAGAATTAAGTGAAAATGGCAAAACCTACAGAAAAATTGCACCACAAAGTCATCTAGAGACAAAAGGCAACATTATCCTTTGGTCACATGATTGAAATTATTAAAAAACATTTTTTAAAAAAAGTCTAATTTGTAAAATTTGGCTTTCTGAAATGACTAAGTGTCCCCCACCCCTATCACCATGTGTGATAGAAAAAAGAAAGGATAAAATAAAAGTTTGTAGTTTTGCACCCCCCACATACATGCCTGTTTTAAAAATCTTTTATTAAATAAAACCAACTTCAAAAAACTTAGTTCCTAAATACTGTAAACAGTAGGAAGATAGTAGGTATGTATTAAAACATTACCAACTTTAACCTTTGATGTCCGTCAGATGAGTGAGTTAAGGAAGGCAAGCATAGTAACAAATTAAAATGACAGTTGAAATATGATTGCTAGAAAAAAATAATTTTCATTTCAAAATCACAATTTCAAGTAGGCCATTCCATCTTTACACAAAATAAGCCCCTCTAGATAACTGCTTGATGTGTCGAGAGAAGGGTTTAGAAGAGGACATAGTTGCCATTGTCCCAAATAGATTTTTTTTTTTAAATTTGCCAAGTTTTTGTCAGGCAGACCTTGCATTTGATGTGTTATAGTTTTAGAAGATTCAACTCAAACAGATACTCCCAGTTAACCAGAATCTTACATATAATCTATTGTTAATTAATCTTGACTTGAATAGTTAAACCAAAATAATTTACACATTTTTGCAAATTTCAGATTTCAATTTAGACTCCAAAATGAAAGAAGCCATTATAAAAGCCCAGGCCAGATTTGATGAGGCTACAAAAGCACTGGATAAAGATTTTCTAAGCTATAAAAGGTTTAATAAATCTTATGTAAAAGGAAAGAAACTCAGTCCAGACTCTGTGATGCAGTTGGTAATTCAGGTAACAATTTTACTTTAACAATTCTCTGTTATAATTTTAGAAAAATCATTTCTCTCTCTCATTACACACTCCTATACATTGTTTCTATCAGTTTTAGCCATGTAAAGCTCTTTATTCTTGTTTATATTAGATTCAATGGTTTTAATGAGATTATTATGATGAGATAATTACATAAATAGATTTTAACAATGAAAATATAAGCTCCTCCATTTTACTGAAAAACTTCTTTTTTTTTAAATTGCATATGTGTATAGCACAACAGTTATCAACATGTTAAATAGAATTGGCATGTTGAGTTCAAATTCCATTCAAGGCTATTTTTGTGTTCACTTCCGCACAAATACTCTTGCTAAGTTAATTCATTACTTCTCCCAGCTAGGGTTTAATAGCAGGGACAATGCTAAATTCAAAACCAGTTGGGTATGGGGTTAGCAACTTCATTCTGGAAAAAATATACTTGCTACAGAAACTACATCAGCGACACCTGATGTAATGAAGCTGTGACCTTCATGTGTTGGGGTGATGGTCTTATATTTTCCAGGGAAGTCTTCAAAGTTATAACATACAAAATTTCCAATTACAATAGCCCATAACATTGCAGACAGGTTGTATACAAACCTGGCATATAGATACATTTACCATACATTGAGATTGATTCTAGGGATTTATAATAAACTAGCTTAAAAGCCACACTCTTATTAACCTAGCTTTTGCGGAAGGCTAATTAAACCTCTGGGCCAAAACTAAAATGACCTTTGGTCCAGCTTAGAAAACAGCAATGATAATTTTGAATTCCTCAATTCACTCCTTGGAACTTCAAAACCTCACTTTAACAACTGATTCAGGTTATAAGTCCAATTCCAGCCAAAAGACAGATTTAGGCTGAAATTCCAATTCGGGCCAAAAATTGAGTTCTTCAAATCACAAATTTTGCAGAACTTTGAAGTACCTCATGTCACAAAAACCTCCCACATTGATTTTCTCAATTAAAAATTTTAGGGAAATTTTAAACTGTATTTAAAACAAAAAATTTTAAATTCAATATAAATTAAAAATTTAAAATCACTAATTTTTTCCAGTTATTTTAAAATTTGAATTTTTAACTGTTCCCTCCTCATCTGGACATAAATCCCAATGCTGGATGTTCAAGCACCAGATTTAGGGTAGATTTTTAATCCCGGGATGATCCTGATTCCAAAAAGGTATAAGTTTATGTAGAGCAAGTGTGGCTCAAGTTAGAGTGGTTTCTAATACAGACGGACAAACAGAATTTGAGGTTTATTTATTCAGAGCTTAAACCTGATTTTTCCTGATAATTTTAATTTTACAGCATTACATTTATTATTTTTCTTTTAAGTGTAATTTTTCTAACTCTTGTATCAGTTGATGCAAAAGTTGATTTTACATATATTTCTTTGACAACATATATTTTATATATATATATAGCTTTTATTCATAGAAATTTAAAGCAGCATTCAATAATCAAAATATTTTCTATTCGTTTAACAAGGCTTCTATAACCATGTCATCTTCCAGCTAAATTGTTTCTTCCATTCTAAATGAAGGATCCCAGTTTCGATTTGATGAATTCTTTCAGAAATGTTTTCAATATCTTGTCGAAACTTATATCTTATACTTCAAGAATTTATAGAAATTTTTAAGAATCTTATTTTCCACAATATTTACAAACAAGATTCCTGAATTTTCTAATCCATAAAAGTTGAAAAAGCAGTTGTTCAATAAAATATTCGCTAACAACTGCAATCTAAAAAAAAAAAAAAATCACTTGCAGAAATCAAATCTTCTTAATTTTAATGTGTCAATCCAATTTTTGTCTCATCAACAGATGGCCTATTACAAAATCACTTCAGGTGGGCGTGCTGCTACTTATGAGTCATGCAGCACTGCTGCTTTCAAACATGGCCGCACAGAAACGGTAAGATCATGCACCTGGGCCACAAGGAAAGCTTGCGACACAATTTTCAGTTCTTCAGCCTCTGTGGAGGAAATGTTTGCTACCCTTCAAGAGTGTTCTAAAGTGCACTCTCAGTTAACTAAAGAAGCTGCCATGGGTAAGTTCATTCATTCATTATTAAGAAAGTTCATTTGTTTAAATTACAACACTGATGTACTTTGTGATTTTTTTTAAAGTTAATTCTCGTTAATTTCCTCCACAACAGAAGATGAATATTATTACTATTTCTGTTCTTTTTACATATTTGTAGAAATCCTATTTAATAATAATACATAATACCATAAGTAATAAGTAATACAAACATAAAATCTCATCAATAAAAAAAAAAAAAAATTAAAATAAAGATCCAGTTTGAACTTTAGGTATCTAAAAAAATCCAGTATTATAGATTTTGTGGCTTAAATTTTAAGAAATGATTGCTAATATCCTTTTGGCTGTTATCAGCTCCTTTAACTCTATAGTTTCTATGCCAGGTTTCTGCTGAAGTACATTAGATATACAATCTGGAAACCTTATTACAAATGCTAGCCTAACAATTCTTTCCAAGCCTCTACCTACAAATCCTGCCAACTGCCTAATGTTGTTGGCATAGATTCAGCTGTTCAGTTCATTTTCCTGAAAATTACAAAGGATCCATCTGTAAATGTTCTTTTTAACTTCAGCTTGATCATTTCAGGATCTACCTGATTCTCTTCACTCATTTTCATATACAAAGCCAGTGCATCCCCTTCCAGGAACTAAGGCATAAAACTCATTAAATGTGTAGTCTGCTACAGTCTGACAACAAGCTTCTTAATCTAATACAAGAAACTTCTTAATACATGTTTATAAAAAAATCCAGTATTAATTATAGGTTTATACCAATAACCTAATAATGCCCATCATAAAATCCAGTATTAATTATAGGTTTCTTCTTATACTCTATTAATACCCACCACCCCAAAATGGGACAGTGAGCATTAATTAAAGTTTAATTATTAAAGTTTAAAATTTAATTTATTGAGCATTAATTAAAGTCTATCATATGAGATGTCTGGAATGTATCCTGCTATTTTCAAATATCTTGAATTAGTTGCACAACCATGATGTAACTTGGCAACTAATCTGAGGGGACCTTACTACACATGCATCATGAACAAACACTCTTCTATGAGGTTACTCAGTTGGCAGTGAGATGTTAATGCATAAGCTTGTGTGCTGTATGACCATTGCATTCACAATGACCAAATGAATAGATTCTTCACTTCTAGTGCAGGATTTCTTGACAAGTTTTCAGCACCCTCCTCACTTTATTGCTTTGTGACGTCTAACTTTCCCTAAATTTAAATCACCATTGAAATGTTATGAATGAGATTAAGATTAAATCAAGGATAGTGAGCCCAAAAGAGGTCTTTGTAGATTGTTTTAAAAATTCAAAGAATGTTAGGATAACTATCTGAAGTTTCAAATGGAGGAGGATACTTTGAAGTGGATTAAAGTGCCTTTGTCCTAGACAGACTATTATTTTTATTATTATTATTAAATGGCTGGGTACTTTCCAAACAGACTTTCTATGTTGTCGGTTGGCATTTGATAATTGTCTGTGCCCAATTGCTTCTAATAAGCTTTTAATTCTCTCTGCTTTGTTTGTGTACAATTATGGATTTATGGGAAACAGTAATTTTCATGTGAATTTGATACTTATAAACAAATAATTTGGTGATCTTTTGAAGATTATTATTTTCATTGTTAGTTTTTCTTCTTGTTTCACCTGGTTCATTATCAGCCACCTTCAGGTAAAATTTTGCCCAATTCAAAACCTGTTGTTGGTCAGATTAATTTTCAGAATCCTATTTTTATCCTATTGTTTTAGTGATAATTTTTTTTTATTGTTTTTAACTAGGTTACATTTTTTTTTTTTTTAAAATGTATGTAACCATACATTTCCTATTATATGTCAGAAAATAAACCAGATAAAGCAACATGTATTTTTGTTTTTGTAGGCCAAGGTTTTGATCGACACTTGCTTGCATTATATAAAATTGCGGAACAAAAGAGCGGGAAGTTGCCCAGCTTATTTGCAGATCCTCACTATAAACTCATCAACCACATCATCCTCTCTACCTCTACCCTCAGTAGTGCTGACTATGAATTTGGAGGATTTGCACCGGTTGTTCCTAATGGCTTTGGAATTGGTAAGTTTACTGTTATTTCTATTTGTCTCTCTTCCCAGTCTCCTTAACCCCTTTTTCAGAAAGGTTTGTCTTCCACTCTAATTTAAGATGTTTTAATAAACTATATATTTACTATAAAGTTTTGGTGATAATATTAAACCTGAAAAGAGATTGGAAGTTGTATTTAAAACAAAATATAATATGTAGATAACCTAGCTAATGTTGGCACAATGTCAGATAAGAAGTGAACTTCTAATTTAGCACATCACAATCTTTCTAAGTGTGGGAAGCATTTATTTAACATGAAAATCAGCATTCAACATCTCAACTTTTTGTTGGGTTCAAATAATGATCACTGGTATCAGTGGCAAATATACAACTATATAACTCATCAAGCAATCCACAAACAAATCATGTTTATAATACAATTGGGGGGTGGAGAGTTGACAGTCTTGAAAATCAGCATTCAAAATTATGGCTCAAACACAAACCCTACAAAACTTTGCATACAATTTTAATATTGATTTTGCACACAAACAAAAATTTTTTTTAAATTTCTTAGGCATAAAATGGCTAAGCACAATAATTAGAATTCTTACCAGTAAGTCTGAGTGGTTCAGTAAAATCAAATGGGCAGCTGACCTCAAAAATGACCTACAATTTACTGTTAACTGGGGCAAGGAATGCCTTGTTAATTTTATACCTCCAAAACAAAACTGCTCTCTTTTAATCATCTTAGAGAACCCTGTCTTCCATCAGTATGGCTGATGCTAACCTCCAGGAGGGTGATGTTTTCTACTGACATGAAGTGAAAAGATTAGATTAAATCATTTGATAGGTTTGCTGCTAGAAAAGTTGGTTCACTGTGTCACGCTAGACAATTTTTCTTGTCAAAATCTACCTTATACATTTATAAGTCTACCATTTATCCTTGCTTTGAATATTGCTGCCACATCTGGTCTGGTGTTCCTGCAATATAGAGATTCTAGATAAAATCCAAAGAATTTGCAATGTTATCGGTCCTAACATGGCATCTTGGCTTCAGTCACTTTCCCACCCCTGTAACGTAGCTCCCCTGTATCTGTAAATACTCTCATGGTAATTATTCGGATGAACTTTCCTCTTTGGTACCTAGATTTTATGAATTTAAGCATAGCACTACATTGGTGGCAAGGCCTGATCAATTTACATTTGGAATGGCTAGATGTAATTGTAAGTTCTATGATAACAGTTTTTTCTCTCTCGCACATCTCACTTGTCGAATGTTCTTCCAGCTTCTTGCTTCCCCGTCAACTTAGATCTTCAAAACTTTAAATGCAGTGTCAATCATTATCTCCTCTTAATTCTTATTCTTTTATTGTTCTTGCTCCTTAATAGTATTTTTTTCTCTCATATTCTCTAACATTCAGTAACCCCTTGCATCTTAGTGGCTTTGTTTGGAGTGAAGTGTTTAAAAAAAAGAAAAAAAAGTGTTGTATAAAAATTGATTTAGCTTTGTTATTGATCAAGCCTTGTGTGAGGACTTAAAAGATGAATTACTGTACACCTATGAGTTTCTGAATACCTCAAAGTTGTACAAGGTGTTAGTCAAAAGAGGTGCAAAATGGCTTCCTCAAAGAAAGGAAAAGCTGTTTAAAAATGAGGGTTCTTTATTTCCTAATAGTGATTTTGGTAGATGTGTGAAATGTTTGGTGAGATGCAGAACACACCAAGTAACTTGACAGATGAACAAACCAATCAGTCAGATCAAATTCCTTCACCTTTTGGGTAGCTGCACATACAGCAGGATAAGCATCTTGTCTAGCACATTTATGCAATATCTTATAGCAAAGAGTAATTTAGTCACCTGAAGATGGCCTGGGGATATTTAGCCAAAACATCATGTCTGTAATAACAATCAAAGATGAGAACAATTGTTCAGATAAGCCAAAGTATATTAATAATTCATCACCTCAGAAATCAAACGAAAGTAATTTTGTCATTGGTTATTAATATGATTTCAGTGTTATTAATGATATTTTTATTTTATTATTCAGGATATGTTATTGAAGATGATCGATTAGGTTACAACATAACAGCATACAAAGATCAGCAAAATTGCAGTGATATGATTGCTGCCCTGAAAGAAAGTCTCAACAATATTCACGACATCCTTGAAGGAAAGAAACCATCTGAGCTTTGAGAAACCAACATGGGGACTTTGATAATTCTAAGAAAAATAATAATTGCCACCATCTAAAGAATAAATTCTTTTGATTATGAATCATGAATATAAGTTTAATGATGCATAAACATCATTAAATTTTCTTCAATATTTTGCCTTATCCTCTCATCAAATCTTGCCACATTGCAAGGCTAATGTTTATGATTTTTAATAATTTCTATAACAATCTCATAAGCCCCAAATAATGAAGTGAAATTTTTATAAATTATCAACTGCATTACTATTTTCTTTCAATTCACCAGTCAGATGTGCATCATGAGTACACCATGCAGATACTTGCAATGATCATTATCTAAATTTCTTAACAATGGCACAGCTCCTGCTTTTCAAAGGGAGTACTGGAAATATCTTGACCTAACCAAGAAATCCTTCCAAAAAAATTCTAATTTGGTCATTTGGTTCCCAAATGGGACCAAATGATAAGTGGGTCAAGCCAATAATTTTTTTCAGCGCACCCTAATGTTTGTAAAATTTATACTGTTGACTGTGTGATTACTTATTAACAATTTTATATCATATATGGGTTGATTCAGATTAAATTTCTTCAATTTTGTTCTTTTGATATATTTTCTACACACTTTGGCCTCCAGCATTCTTTGGCTATCTATTGCATTCTAGAATGTGGCTGAATCTTTTTCTAAGAGAATATGCACTTTCTTTCTGATATATATCATATCCAGTGCCTGCATCTGTATGTATTCACTACATCGAACTCTTGATCTTTAAAAAAAAATCATGTCATTTCTCAGGCCATCCCTCTGGGATATGTGTTTTTGTTTTAATTCACGGCCCTCACAAGCTATTAATGTCTATGCTTGGTCTACTGATACAATTATCTGAGCACAATAGAGAAGTGAATCTAAATCAATCAACATACAATGATTAAAACAACTCATGTAACAATTCAGAAAAGTGCTTTCTATAAAATTCAAAACTTAATTCTTTTTAAAATTTAAATTATTTTTTCTAATAATTTGACAGAATGACTTGTTTATTAAATAATATATTTTTTTGGCAAACATGAATAAATGTACCTGCAATAAGATGGAGTATCAAAAGGATGGTTTTTCCCATGACACCATTTTTTTTTTTTTTTTTTACTACCTTCACAAAACTAAACATATGATGAAAGTGAATTTATAAATTTTTTTGCAAATTTACAACAAAAATATTAAACCTTATTTATTTATTAGATTGCTTATTTACAAGAATAATTTTATATTTACAACATTCTAAAAAACAATACAATTAGAAGTAATGCAATATTTATTATTTTCTAATTTATAAAAAAATAAATGTGAAAACAATTTATATTCATAGATTTATAAACATTTACTAAATTATCAAAAATGTGAACCATCTATAAGGAAATTTATAAAGACTTATAAATCAATTGGTAATTAGCCAATCTTTTGCCAACCATTCCAATAAATAATAAAATAAATAAACTATCTAATAAATAATGTTTATTATTTTTGTTGTTGATTCTCAGGATCAAAAAAATGTATAAATTCACTTTCATATGTTTAGGCTTTATTGCAATTCTAATCATCACTTTTTAAAACAATAAACATTGCTGAAGGGAGTTAAAAAATAAAAGTGGTGTCATAGGAAAAAAAATCTGTTTCATTGAAGGCACGTTTACCGATGTTTGCCTTTTTTCTTTTATTTTTTTTTTTAAATATTGTACTGGCATCTTATTTTTCTATTCACTGACTGGAGAAAGTGAAGTTTTATTATACAATAGAATTTATTTAATAGTCACTTAAACATAAAATTTGAATGTTTTTCACATAATAATGGCTCATATTTACCTATGCTCCAAATTATGTACAACTGAGATGGAAAGGTTTACATTCTTTTATTTAAAATCTTTCCGATATTAGAATATTGAAAGCTCTGAGGTTTTATTTCAGGCTATAAATTGAAGTTTGTATCTTTTTCCCATCCTAAAAATAAGCTGAGTTCAAATCAAGATAAAAAGTAATATTTTCTTCTTTTGAATATCGATTCTGTATTTGTAGAATCTACAATATTGAAATATTAAATAAGGAAATTATTTTATTCTAAATTCAAATTATTTTATTTTATTCTAAATTCAAAGAAATTATTTCCTTAAAATTTTGAATAAATTGGTTAAATTATAAATTATCACCCTTATCATAAATCTATTTGACAGTATTAGTAAACTAGTACTAAAAATATATCTTTAAGACTCACACATGAAATTCTGATAATAGTAATATCAATTTCATATGTGCCATGATTTTTGATAGGATCTGTAAACTCTAATCTAAACCCAACAATAGTCGATGTTTAATGTGTTAGAATAATAAAATATATCCGATAGCAAATCTATATTTACAATATTTTTTTCTATATTCAGCCACTTTAGCAAAATAAAATAACTAACTACCAACTAAGCTTGTCATTTTTTCTGAAATTGAAATAGTCTTTGTATTGAACCAATATTTATATTTTATTTATAATTTTTGCTCCAATGATATAAAATAAAAAAGCAACAAAAGTCTTTCTGCAATACTGTTTCCACACTTTACTTACTCAGGAAATAATTATGAAAGTGATGTGTATTATATTGGAACCTGTGCCTAGGATAAGAAGGTAGTATCTGTACATTTGAAAGTGTTACATGCATGCAAATTTAGCCATTCCATCAAAAAACAACAGCAGTATTTAAGTAATTTTGCAATTACATTTGTTAATTTTTCTGCAGGTATAACATTGTTATGGTGTTAGCATGAGTCATGTTTGTTTAGTGGCTTATTTATACCATGTAATACTTCCTATTACCATAATAGTAGAATACCTCATTATCTCAAATAGGAGAAATGAGGATGTGGGACTGATATTTATATAAAGTCACATTGTATGTATATATATATATATATATATATAAATTAATAATAATGGACTCTCCCATCGGTTTCGATATATGAGGTTCTGACAGCTTATTGATTCAGTTATGAAAGTGTGTGATAATCTTAAGTGGCATTTAAGACCCACTAGTGATTTACAAAGGAGGCCACATATGTAGCAAGTGTGAAGATTGTGAGATGAGATCACTGTTAGATTGGCTGACCTTTTAGATCTTGCTCTCGCTTCTTGAAGATGATTCAGACAAACATATTGAAAATTGCTGTGTCCACTAAAACACGTTGATCTCCATTCTACCCGCTCCAAAGCTAAGCACTCAAGGGTGTTATGTGGTATATTGACTGTTGACAAGTTGCTTTTCAGCTTGTCTTGTATCTTAGCCATGGGTGTCCTACATTCCTGTAGCCCTGATCTAACTCGCTGTACATTAGGATCTTGGGTATCCTGTCATCAGACATTCTCAAGACATGACCAGTCCACTGTAACTGAGTCTTGATTCCTCCAATATTACACCTGTTAAACAGGTCTACGTTAGATGTCCTATCTTGAAGCTTAACTTCACAGATTGCACTTTTACATATATATAATTATTTATTTGAAAATTATAACAAATATGTTATAAAATCACTACAAAAATAGCCATTTTGTTTCAACACCTTCAATTTTGAACCTTTTAAAACCCTTTATTCTACATTCAACATCCTCACTCATAAAATTTGAATGTTTTTCACATAATAATGGTGGAGGTGTTGAAACAAAATGGCTATTTTGTAGTGATTTTATAACATATTTATGTTATAATTTTCAAATAAATAATTATATTTGCTCTACTCCGTATTGAGCACTCTTTTAAGAATAGTAATTGTTAGTTATTGGAATTTATTTCATATACACCAATCCTATACTTGTGTGTATATATATATATATATATATATATATATATATATATATATATATATATATATATATATATTAGTGTGTGTGTAATACATTATATGCATGGTGCTTATTAGAAAGCACTCAATATCAGAGATAGAGCTAACATATTTGGTTGGATTGATGTGAGTTTGTGACCCTGGGTTTCATGCTTTTGACAATCGTCAAAAAACATGGAATCCTGGGTCACAAAACATCAATCCAATCAAAAAAATATATATATATATATATATATATATATATATATATATATATATATATATATAACTACTTCATTACTTAAAATTAAATAGTCTGTTTCAGGACAGTTTTTCTTATCAACCATGTGCATACAAAATAGTTAATTATTCTAATGACAGTGAACCATTTTCTCAAAGTCAAATTTAAATTTGAACCAAGATCAAAATATTATTTTGCTAAAGGTGAAAAGAAAAAAAGATTAAGTTACTCAATGCAATTTATAACTGCAAAAGAAATTCAGAAATCGTCAACATGTTTTAATTACTAAAGAAAATGTTTCAGATAATTAAAGAAAAAGACTTCCCTGTAGTTATTCAATGATTAAATTCACAAACCTGAAGTGAATTTTGTTCATATCTAGTGTTTATTCATATAATCCACAGGACAAGACATTTTAAACAATTTTGATTTAAAATATCATGCAAAAGGCATGAAATAAAAGATAGTATGCTTTGATAACAATTGAACAAATCTTTCAGTTTTTTTCCATAGATGAAAAGTTCATAAACCTACAAATTTGTGTTAGTCTTAAATAGAAACGAGATTATTATTTTCCGAGTTTATAACTTTAATATCATCAAAAATCTTACATAATAATGAAATTTTAATTTCAAGCAAAATCAAATTTAACATTTGGATAGATCAAATCACTTTTCTTCCTATCATTTAGAAGTTCCTGACTTTATTATTACCAGTGTGTAAGTGAATGACAAAATGGAAAAAATTCTATATAATTGATGTTAAAAATTTAATAAACATGAATCCTTTTATAAACACTGCTTTTCTATACAATGATAAATACAATATATTTTCTATTGATCACAACTGAATTTTATGATGAACTTTTTTTATTTGATTGTAATTTTTTTAAAAAGTGTAATAATGGT